GGCTCAGTTCTGGCTCATGCTGAGTCTACCCCCACTGTGGCTCTGCCTTTAAAGTGTATTAGGAGCCAGGTAGGCAGCCCGGCTCAGTTCTGGCTCATGCTGAGTCTACCCCCACTGTGGCTCTGCCTTTAAAGTGTATTAGGAGCCAGGTAGGCAGCCCGGCTCAGTTCTGGCTCATGCTGAGTTCTACCCCACTGTGGCTCTGCCTTTAAAGTGTATTAGGAGCCAGGTAGGCAGCCTGGCTCAGTTCTGGCTCATGCTGAGTCTACCCCCACTGTGGCTCTGCCTTTAAAGTGTATTAGGAGCCAGGTAGGCAGCCTGGCTCAGTTCTGGCTTGCACTAGGTCCAGGAGCTCAGACCTCCCCCCTAGACAGGGTTGTTGCCACCCTGCGCTGCTGCCTCTGTATCAGAGACAGCAGCATTGGGGGGCAGGCAGCCAGTCCACAAGGGGGGCTGGTTTTTAAATCGACTCCCCTCATGGACCAGCTCCTACCTGGTACCCTGCACTGGTGCCTCTGATCCAGCAGCTGCCATCCCTGCCCCAGGGACTATAGAATACTCGACTAACTGATTAAAAAACCATGAGGTTACCCAACTATTCAATTAACCGATATTTAACATCCCTAGCTGGAGGACAGCCCAACTTGACTTGGCTGCATCCGTAGCACTGAGGGGCCCTCCCTGCTTTCCAGTTGATATTTCCTAAAGAGCATGGAGCCAGGAGAAAAAACAGCCAGGGTCACTCACCACAGGAATGTGAAGTTTGCTTAGAGGCTTGCCGTCCAACAGATAGGACCCCGTGTAGGTGACATACTCAGCGTAGCACTGGGGAGCTTGGGGAGTAATGTAGCAGAGGATTTTCCGCTTCTCTTCAATCTTTTTTCTGATCTGAAGATACTCGAAGTATGGATTCGATCGGTCGCTGTGGTAGGGCTCAATGTCATCCAGTTTTATAGCATCTACGATAGCGGCCAGGGTTTGCTGGATCATCTCTCTCGTCTGCTGGGTGGACGTGTTAATCTGCTGCTGTAGCTGCTGGCTGGAACGCTGGAACCTGCGTTTGCGCGGATGTTGGGCTTGAGAATCGTCTTCCTCCGTCACTCGCCCTTTTGCCCGCGTCGAAGGTGCAGAAACAGGAGGAAACTCTCTCTCAGTGGATGCGGTGTTCTGTTTATTTTGATTGGCCAGCATCTGAGCCCGGTTCCTCGTAATTCGTTGTGGGATCTCTTCTATTTTGGGCTGTTTGGAAACTTCTGCTACTGGTTTTTGTACTGGCTCGATGGTTTCTGCTGGAGTAGTCCCTTGGGATGCATCCGTCTGGGTGGGTGGGACTTGGCTTCCACTTCGCACTGCAGCAGTGTCTTGCACCATCCCGCTCTCAGCACTGTTCGCTTGTGGCAAGCTGGCTTGCGATCCGCTCTCCGCTGCACAGTGTGATGCGGGCAACCCTTCAGGGTTTGTTTCTGCCTCTCTTTTCTCTGGGTCAGTAAGCTGTATTGATGCAGTCTGTTGAAAATTCTGGGCCTCAGACTCCTCTAATCTTTTTTCTTCTGGTACAGTCAATACTTCTGATGTAGCTTCTGATGCAATGGCTTCTGATCTTTGCTCCTCAGGCTGTGGCTCTGGTTCCACGGCTAGTAAGTTACTAGCAGTAGTAGCTGCTGCTTCTACCAGCGGCAGCTCTTCCTGCTCACTGGAAGCTGTGACAGACACACCCATGTTTATGACCCCGGTATTTATGACTTCTGGGACATTTAATGAGCTTTCTTCTATTGGGGCCACTTCACTCATTTCAGCATCTGGAACATCTTTAGTTTGTAGTGGCAATTCTGGCAACGAGAAGGGACCAAGATCCAAGTCATCTTCTGAGTTTGTGAATGGATCAGGCCATGTCACCCGCTCTTCTGGGTTTACAGGTGCAACATTATTGTTTTCCAAGTAACTGTTTTCCAGAGCACTGACAGCTTCTGCCTGAGTTTCTGCTGGCATGCAAGAGGGTTCTGAAGGCATCTCATGTGCTTCTTCTGGAAGAGGCTTGCAATTATTGAAGAAGGTATCTAATCTTGTAGGAGACATGTAAGGAGCTTGCTCTTCTGCAGTTGCCATTTCCCCTGCAACAGCTTCTTCAGCATCTTCCTTTATTTCACCAAGCCCCGGTTCAGATACAGACAATGGATATGAAATAGGAGAAACTGGGTATGGAGAATCTGTAGCAATAAAGGGCACTGGTGTGGGATGTATTGGGTCCAGTGAGCAGAATGGCTTAGGCGATTCAGGAAACCTCTGGGGAGACTTCATTAGAAGTTCTGCTCCCACTGACCAGCTGGCGGGATGCTCAGTCGGATTACCAATCAAGGTAGGAGGCATGGGAGGGTCAGGGTTCCTGGAAGGAGGGTTCTCCCAGTCCATGTTGCTCTGCTCTGAAATACCTGAACTGAAATGATTTTCTTCTATAGGGGGTAAAAATGAAGCTTCTGCGGGCAAAATGGAAGCAGTCGCTTGCTGCTCTTCTGTGGAGTCCAACGGCATGCCGAGGTCAGGGGGGAGCGCACTTTCTACAGAAGGTGCAAGCAGCTCATCTCTATGAGATGGGGAGGATTTTGCTTGTAAGCCAGAAAAGATGCTTTCCGGTGACTGGACAACATTGCCGACAGGTGCACAATGCAAAGCTTCTACTTTAGGTGATGGGACTCCATAGTCAGGAGAGTAATACCCTGGAGACATGCACTGAAACTTCTCTGCAGGAACAGAAGGCAGAGGGGTTTTTTCCTCCAACAGATGCTGCACTGGAGAATCATAATTGGATGTTGCTGGGACACTTTGCTGCCTGAAAAACTTGTCTCCAGCACTGAACTCTTCTTCAGGGACTCTTCTTATATCAACAGAGATTGAGCGATAAAGGTTTGTGGAGGGGACCGTCCTTGTTGGAGTCTGACTTGGATTGTCTGGCAGTCCACTCGAAGCATTAGCGTATCTGTCAAAAAAAGAAGGAGAACATGCATTCATGGACATCGTGGTCATGGGCAGCGCATGCTGAGAGTCAGCGCAATCAAACATCAAGTCAGGGTAATCTTCATTGCTGCATGAGGGAGTTCTTGGTGTCTGCATCACTTCTTCATAGCTTGGACAAGACACTACAGAAGCTGGAGCTGGAACACCTGTTGGCCTGTTCTGATCTGGCCTGGGAGAGGCAGGTAAAATTTCTTTCAGTTGAGGGCCAGTTATCCAGTCTTTTGAATCTGTTCCCATCGCGGGCTGCGGCTTATTATCTGGTGACAATATGGGAGTCAGTGGACCTAGCTCTTTGAGCTTCTTGTCCTTTAGTTGAGTATCAAGTGTTAGTGGTTTCTTTGTGGTCAAATCTAGACTCCTTTTGCGCATCTCTTCAGAGGTTTTAATTTTATCTTTTAATTTGGGGTCTCCAGATCTGTGCCTCATCTTCTCCATTTGCTTCATTCTCTCTTTGTGTCGTTTGTGGCGCTCCTCGATTTCCAGGTCTTTTTGGCTCAGCATCCTCTCGAAGCTGGTCATCATTAGATCTCCGTCACCCAGCAGCTTCTCTCTAGGCCTGTTATCTTTCTTGGTACCATCTCTGGATAATGTTATTTTATCATTTCCATTACTTATCTTTAAAGACTCTGTTTTGTCTCTCTCTTGGTTTTCCTTGAGTTTCTCCTTCAGTTTGGTGTCACTAAATTTGAGGCTCTCCTCTTTTGACTTCTCTTTGAATGTGATAACTTGAGGGCTGTCCTTATCCTTGTCTTTAACCAAAGACTTGGTCTCATCTTTGTGATGTTTAAAGAATCCATCTGTATGTTTGTCTCTATGCTTTTCCTTTTCATCCTTCCATTTTTCCTTGTGTTTCTCTCTCTTCTTCTTCTCTTTGACTGTGTTGATGGCACCAGAACTGTAAGTCTTTTCCTTTTCTGCCTTCTTTGAGAGCTCTCTCTCCGTATCAGGTTTATCTTTCTTTTCTGAAAGCAAGTAGTCCATGTTTTTCTCCAGCTCTTCCTCGACCTCTGCTTTCACGCTGTAGGAAATGCCAAAAGTCTCCCCATCCACAGATAATTCTTTTTCATACTGAGTGGAATCTTTTCTATTGCTGGCATCTTTAAATTCATCCACCTTTTCTTTTTTCTCTGTTTTTTCCTTCTTTGCTTTCTCTTTTTCATGACTTTTCTTTGATGAAGATGAGGAATGCCTGTGCCTCTCCTTCTCCTTGAGTTTGTCTTGCAAGCAAGGCAAAGGAAGAGAATCTTTATACTTTTCGTCAGAGGCATCTGTAAGAGAAAGGTTAGAAGACTCAAAGAGGTTGGTTAGTCCTGGATCTTGTCCTCTGTCTGTGAAGCTATCAGAAGAAATCTCACTTATTTTATCATTGGAGTCATCTCTATATTCGTTGAGGGCCTCCTCCTCCAATTTTTCCAACAGGCTCTTCTCGGTCTCTCCCCCTTTTGAAGACTTCTTTTCTTTGGAATGTTCTTTATCCATCTTTTCCTTATGCTTGTTTTTTACCTTCTCCTCAGCAGCATGCTTCTTTTCAGCTTTTTCAGGGAGCTTTTGCTTGTTTTTCTTTTCCTGGGTAGAATCTACCGAGGTTCTTTCTTTCCTGTCCTTATACTTCTCAACAGAGTCTTTATCCTTCTTCTCTTTGTGCTTTTCAAAGAAACTTTTCTCTTTTTTCTCCTTGCCACCTTCTGCCAAGCCTTTATCTTTTTTCTTCTCTTTAGATTCTTTATCTTTCTGTTTCTCTCCCGAATGTTGCCTGTCAGAAGAGTACTTTCTGGGCTTGTCAGCAAGATAAAGTTCCTTTTCAGCAGCCATGCTATCATCTTTTTCTTGTAGACTGTCCATTCGATGCAATTCACCCCCAGCGGCCTCACCAATTTTGAATCCGCTTAAGCTGTAATCATCCTTCTCATCTTCGCTTTCATCTGTGAAGATATCTGCTATGCTGTACCAACTTTTCTCTTTTCCTTTTTTCTCATCCTTTTTTTCAGAGAAGTCCTCTCTCTCTCCAGAGAAGTTTTTCTTTTCTTTGATATAATCAAAAGAAGTCTTCCTTTCTTTGTCTTTGTTATGCAGGTCTTTGTATTTTTCCTTAGAATCTTTTTTCTCTTTAAAACTTTTATCCAGTTCTTTATCTTTCTGGTTTTTCTCAGCAACAACTTTTTCATTTTTCTCTCTGTCTGCTTCCTTAGATTTCTCCTTATATTTTTCTGGTTTCAGTTTCTCTTTCTTGTCCTTATCAGAAGCATCTTTCTTCTCCTTTTCCTTCCCTGAATGGTGCCTTTCCCAATTCTCTGCATTTTTCCCACTGCATTCAAGATCAGATTTCTCCTTGAAGAATGTTTCACAGCCATACTCTTTAAACTCATCTCGATAGGGCTCCTCTTGCTTAATTTTTATGTCCTTTCGGTCTTTACAGCTATCAGAAGAATCTTTTCTCTCTTTGTTGATTTCACATGGATCTTTTTCCTTTCTCTCTTTAATGCTTTCTGCAGAATCTTTCCTTTTCTTGTCTTTTTCAGGCAGATAACTAGGAGTGACTTTATGCTTTTCAGTCTGGTCCTTTTTCTTCTCAGGGTTTTTGTCGATGCTTTCTCTCTCTCTCTTTTTTAAGAAAGTGTCCTTTTCATTACGTTTTTCATTGTATTCCTTCTTTTCTTTTGTTTTAGTCTCCCTTTTCTTCTCCTTAATTTCCTCCTTCACTGTTTCTATGATTAGTTTTGCCATGGAGTCATTTTTAATTTCCCTGAAGTCTGTTACTGGAGAATCCCAGCTATCCTCACATTTGAAGTCGAAGGATGAGTCGGATGACAAATCAGAAAACCATCTCTCTTGCTGATCATCAGAAAGGCTAAATTTTGTGTCCTCGCTTTCCAGCAATTGGTTTTTGTTACTAAACTCATCAAATCCAGGCTCCTCTCTGTAAACTTTTTCTTTTTTACATTTTTCTTTCTCCTCTTTGAAGGTTTTTTCTTTCTCCAGTTTAGTAATTTTCTCTTCCTTCAGATCATTCTTCTTTTCAGATTTTGATGGCTTGTCCTTTGACTTTTTCTTTTTCTCCTCCTTATGTATTCTAGGTTTCTCCTCTTTGGGAGATTTCTCCTTTACTGGTTTCTCTTTTTCTGATTTACTCAACTTCTCCTCTCTGAAAAATTTGCTGATGTCTTTGCTCCCCTCTTTGACTTTTTTTAATGATTTCTCCTCTTTGGGGGTTTTTCCAGTCTCATCTTTAAACACCCATTCCTTCTCCTCTGATTTATTTTTCAAGAGCTTTTCTTCCTTCTTGCAGTGTTCTCTCTCATGTTTTAACACTTTTAATTTATTTTCACTTGGACTTTCAGTCTCTATCAAACCCTTGTCAGGCTTTTGCTTAGAGTCCTCATATTCAAAAGAAAAAGTTTTGATTAGTTTAACGTCTTGGCCAGCGGGGCATTGTCCCTTCTCTTTGTTTTTATGTTTATGTTTTGTTTTATGTTTTTTGACAACCTTCCCCTCCTTGTCCAGCTTTGGAATAGCTCCGTCTGCATTGGCATGGAATGAATTCTTCTTCTCAGAAATTGTATTGTGTGAGTTATTTTTCTTTTTGTGCTCCTGCTTCTTCCTCACCGGCTTTAATGATTGTAAGCTCGAATCCTCAGATGTATAGTCGGACTCACTTGTCAGTCTCGTCCTTGTGGAGTCCGATAAGGAACTGACATCAGACCATGCCGGAGAAGATATGGTTTTCCAATTGTCTGTCCTCCAGTGCTTGGAGTGCTGGTCTGTAAGGTTAGGGTTATGTTTCTGTGATGCTAAACTCCCGTGAGAGGAGGTGGAAGAGGCAGACAGAGAGTTGAACAAGGAGGATTCCTTTAGCACTAGCCTAGAGTCCTTTACACAGCTAGAGCTTTGCACGGAGTCCCTATCATCCTCCTCAGTCTCTAAATTTTCACTCTCTGATTCAGAGGAACAAAATTTGTCATTTTTTTTGCCAAACCGAACCTCTTTACTCTTGGTCTCCTTTTTCCGCTTCTTTTTCACTTTATTCTTCTCCTTCGGTTGCTTGGTGTTGGCGGGCTCTCGCGTCTTGCTGCTGGGCAGTATCGAGTGAGTCGATAACCTCAGCTTCTCGCCCGTCCCCACCGCTACGCTGGCGTCCTCTTCATCTGACGTGTCCGACAGGATGCGATGGGCAGCTTTCTTTGGTGTAATGGTGTTATTCTTAGTGTACGTTTTAACTTCCATTTTGGGTATGGAAATAAAACTGTTCGCTTTAGTCTCTTTCCTGTAATCCTTTTTCAGCAAATGCTTGTCATCAACAGGCGGGACTCTGTCCTGCTCATCATCTTCATCAAACTCATACTCGTCCTTGACTGGTGTGATCGTTTTGGGGGGTTCTTGAGTCTTGGTCTTATGTTTCAAGCCTTTTTCAAACTCAGAGTCTGTGTTATTGCCATCCACAGAGCTCGAAGGTGCAAACGAAGGGGCGTCCTCCTCCTCCTCCTCTTCCGAGCTCTCTGTGGAAAAAAACAAGCACAAAACATTAGCCGTGTAGGTTTTTTTCCCTCGGAGAAATATGCATTCTCCAGACCAACTCTGAGAGCCTGAGCTAAGAGTCTGCTTGCACCCCACACACTGAACACAATGGCCACCTTTGCAGAGCCTACGGAGTGAGTTTAACTTTCCTTTGGAAAGAACACCCAAACCGCTTCAAAACGACATAGGACGCCATTGAAAATACCCCTTTGGAAGCACTTGACATGAGCACAGTTTGGCCAGGATTCCCAGGGAGAGGCAGTGACATGCAATGCTTCTCAAACTACCACTGACTAAGAAGCTGCCCATCCAGTGTAGGCTTTGCAGCTATTAGCCATAACTATCACCTCCAAGCTAGACTAAAGCCATTTAGTAACTGCTTGGATACTGCTCCCTTTCCTTCCGGGGGGCTGGCTGTAATGAACCCAGAACAGGTGCATGAGAACTTCAAAATGCTGGTGCCAGTCTTTGAACCCTGAGTGATATGGAACCCAGTTACAGGATGGCCTGCTCCCCCCCTCCCCCCTACAGCTGCTGTAGACTCCTATGACTATGCCCTCAGCTGTAGACTCCTATGGCTGAACTTTCTGGGAGGAGTGGCAGGGTTCTCTGAGCACAGGGCAGCTTTTCTAAGCACCTGCGCAGCGTGGCTATTGGCTGACTCGTGTCGTGGCATTGCAGTAGCATGCAGGCATTTGGGAGAGATGATCACTTCTGTGCATTTTAATGCTTTTGTGGTAGCAGGTTGCCCCATGGCAGGGGTGGGCAAAAGGGCCTTGGCGGGCCAGAGCTGACTCACCAAGAGGGTTGATCTGGCCTATGGAGGCCCTTCTGCTCCCCTGCCCCTGGCCAATCAGAGCTTGGGGGCAGGAGGAAGCACACAAAGTTTAAAGTCAACTGCCAGCCGCTGCTCAGCTGGTGGGTGACTCTAAGCATGCTCTCCGTTGCAAGGCAGGGGCAGCAGACTGTGCGCGCTCCCCCGCTCCTGGGCCCTGACTGACCTGGAGGCAGGGGGGAGCATGCGAAGTTTCCTCCCACCGCCAGGGACAGGGCACCTAGAGGGAACCACCAGCTGTTCAGAACAGCTGGCAGTTCTCTTGGGGGGGAGGGAGGGGGAAAGCAAAGACTTTGCATGCTCCCCTACCCCCAGGCCAATCAGGGTCTGTGGGTGATGAAGCACAGAAGTGTTTCCAGCCCCGCCCCTTCCGGCAGCCTGGGGCCGGAACATTTCAGAAATGTCTGAAGTGGCCCCCAGTCAAAAATTATCGCCCACCCCTGCCCTATGGCGATAGCTCATTATCCCAACACCCACATGGGTCAGCACCTCACCTGTTGAGCTCTCCTCACTAGAGGAATAGGTGGTCTTTCCCAGGAGCAGGTTCACCATGGTGGGTGAATTAGCAACTTTTAAAGGCGTCTCTCCCTTCCTGTTGCTTTGATGAGGGTTCCCTCCATAGTGTAACAACAATTTTACCACCTAAAACCAAGAAAAACGTCCAAGTCTCAGGATGGTTCCGTTTCGAAGGAAGACGTTTCTGTTCCCATCGCTTTGGTGGGTGGTTCAGGCAGACGAGCAGAAACGAGGTTTGTTAGAGATCAGAGCTAGCTGGCCACCCCACCCTCTGTCACCCAGAGACATGGACACTGACTGAAAAGAGGGACAGAGAAAAGGGCAGGACAGATGGGGGGGTGGGAGGAAAGAAATGCAAACCTGTCCTCTGGTAGCAAGTGCCCTCCTCCAATTCCAAGGTCTTGTGATACAAAGGGGAAAAACTAGAACAACATTTAATAGCATGGGGGGGCGGGAGAAAGATTCGTACCTGGAAGGATGCAACATGCCTGTCAGTGCAGTGAAAGAAATAGCAACTGCCTACACCGATACGAACCGAAGCATCGGAAAATCACCCTGGTTTATCTGTAACGAATCACTACGATATGGCTACTAAATCCAGCAAGAACCAACCTTGAAATGCCCATTATTAGCTGCATCATGCAGCGGGGTGTCGTCATCCAACCCCTTTGTGTTGACTTCTGCGCCGGCAGCAAGCAATTGCTTTGCAACATCATAGTAACCCCGGTTACATGCCTCGTGCAATGCTGTCCAGCCTGCAAGCACACAAACACTCATGACATGGGCAACTAATTTCACCATAGATCATTATGTCACAAAGTAACCTAAACAGAAGCTGCGCTAATACGGCAGCTTGCCTCCATCTCCAATAGCTGACACAGCTCTTCTAACCAGCCAGCACGCTGCATGGCAGGACGGACCTAAGTGGCCAAGACTGTCTGCCCAGACACCAGCAGTTCTGCTTTGGAAAGAAACTTTTTTTTTTTTTTGCCAGTCCAACACCTGGTACTTGCGTCCATGTGCTATAGCCAATTGTCCAGCAGAACTATCACTTCGCTCAGTGAGCTCCAAAGGCAGAGAACACTTAGTGAATGAAACTGAAGGGCAGCGGATCTCTCAGGGAGCTCGGGCCTCCTTAGGTTTAATAGTCTCTCTCTCCTTTAACTCTCCGATAACAGGAACACTATCACCCGCTCAGGAATGGGGTTTGCATTCATCTGTTCATACGCCGTGTCCCCTCGCTGAATTCGGAGCATATAGACTGTTTGCAACATTTCCACAGCAAGCAACTGTAACATCCCAAACAGGACCATGATTTCTGGAAGGGACTACGGGTGGAAGCAGATGAACTCTGCAGAAAGAAAAGCTAAACCACACCACTAAAGACGGAGGGAAAGAAATGTAAAATATTTCTACCCTACATGGGAAGCAGACTGATTTCTAAGCAGAATCTGCCTGGAAGTTTCTCAGCAGACGTGTTCACTCCTTGGGTATGCTGCTGACAGCACTGGGTGAGCTCTGTAAAACCCTCCATTTGTACCATTCAAAAAGGGTTCTGGCTACTGGCAATTTTCAAAACGAAGCCACTCTAGAACACAGACTGAGCACACTGGCTGAAAGAGTCTCACTTCCACTTCTTATACCCCAACACCACTTCATAACGAATGCTGGGGTCACGGGGCAAGCACTCGAAAGCCAGGAAATGGTTCTCCGGGCCACCTTCCCTTCAGCCCTTCGGTGCGGATAATTATGATGAAGGGGAAATTTGTGTCATGGAGCTTAAGAATGTCAGTGATTCCATGACTTTTAGAGACCACTGTGACATCTTCCAGCCACCAGGGGCGAGGAGTGCTGCACCCCTCCTTTCCGGGGCTCGAGCGTCATCCCTCCCCTTTCCTCGGGATTCAACCCTCCCTTCCACAGCACCATTTTGTCATGACTCTTTTTGGGAAAATCAGGGACAGGGCTTCAGTGAATTTTTATTTTATTGGAATGAAATGGGTTCCACCTCCATGCCGCCTTACACCAGCAGAGGGAATACTGACAGCACCGGAGAGACAAGCTCCCTGTTCTCAGCACAGCCCAACTTGGGCCGTTTTGGGGATTAGCAACGTTTTTTTAGTATGTGCAGAATAACGTATTCCCCTCAATCTCATCCTTAGAGACAGATGCACCTAGAAACAAACCCCAAACCCAAATCCCAGCCTCAGGCAAATACCTGACATGGAGAACTTCAGCACCAATCTGATTAAGTTGTAATAAGCAACTGAAAACAGAATCTTGTAATTGGAAATGCCGGGCAAGCTTAGCTCCCAGCCCTATTTATAACCACAAGGTTACCCAAACTTCATCTGTCTGAGGGCTTCACTGGGACACAAGGAGTATTTCTCAAATGAAGCAAGTCACTGCACCTGCCCTCATCTTTCATGAGGCTGTACGACGTGCAAGCACGACAGTCCTCCTCTGGGTGGACTCTGCTCGCACCAAAATGGAGCACCACATGTGGAGATTCCCCACTCCACCGAACTCCCCTAGGGCCACAATTCCTGCCACAAGGCATGCATGGCTGGGGTCAGATTTCCTAGGCAAAGGTCATTTTTATTGTCGATTACATTGTTTCTTGCCCCTTCTTCTGGAGCGTCTGGTACTGGCCACTTGAGGATGGACATGGACTCCATGGACTCTTGATCCGATGTGGCCTGGCTACTGCTGTATTTATTAAAGGTGAGGTCAGCTACTGGACACAACATATAGATCCACTGACTGCACTGTGGGTGCCTGGCTTATCAATACAAATCACTGAATTGTAGCTGGGCTTGCTACCTGCAAAGTCTTTAACGTTGACATCTGCACCCTCAATGATGAGTTCCTTGATGCGCCGGGCATCTCCTCGGATGGCAGCTCTATGCAGCCGAGTCTCTCCACGCTCATTTCTCTTATTTACTTTATCTTTGGTTTTGGAGGCAGAGTTAGGAGTTCCCTTCTGACACACTGTAGACTGAGAGGGATGCTTTGGTGTTGTATCTACTGCATGGAGGAAAAAAAACACCGTGAAGAACTGCATTGGAAGGAATATCAGAGCCCTCAGAGGGAGCTGTTGCAATACTTTTAATCCAGCAGCCTCACTGAAGCAGTCTGCAAGGCACTCAGAGGTAACCAATCCTCTGAACTAGATGTGGAGACAGAGGAAACCTTGGCTAGGTAGAATAGTCATAAATTGTAGGCTGTGCTGAAGCACAGACGGGAGAATGGCATAGTAACCCCTGGACAGATTATAGACAATCCACCACAAAGTGTCTCTTCAGACCCAAGTCTGACTTTTGAGGAGAAGTGACACAGTAGCCGTCCCACGTACATGTGAGGGGCTAGCTGCCTTGGAAGGATAGTCCATACTTCTTGGGAAAAGCTCTGAATATTCTGAAATGCACTTACTAGAAAGTGATAGTGACATGAAACTAGATTCACATTAAGAATGACAGCAACAAAATAAGAGGCCATTCTGCATATGAGACATAGCAGGAGACGCGTAGCAGGCCATATTGGCAACAGAAAGTACAGCATATTGTAATATTAATTCCACGTTAAAATCACTAACTATGCTGTAATTAAAATTACAATACACCATGATTTGCAGAGTCTAGTTCTTTTACATCAGGAGCATTTAAGAATCCCAAAAATACTCATGCTCCCCCGTTTACTCACAAAAACATTTAATTACTCAATCAACATACTAACTTAGCAGAAAACTTGGAGCTCTGATTTATGCTAGTGATCCCAGCAACTAATTGAGTTCTGAGATTTTTAGTGCTAACTAAAGAGCATCTAATGCCTTCTGCCCCTATCTGTCCAACATTATTGTATAATTTCAGAATGCAATAAAGGGGCATTTGTCTAAGCTGGGGCAGGGAGGGATAGCCTGCATGACGCGGTACTATGGGAAGATGGAATGTCTGGCAGGAGTGAAGCATTTGCAACCCCTACATTTATTTCCAGCAGAAGAACTACGCTCCCAACTCTTCCTGATACACACTCTCAACCTTTTTATTCTGTGACTGCGGCTGCTGTTTACGGAGAAGCAGAAGCATTCCGAGTCCCATTACATTGGGCTCTGACACATCCTCCCACGCCTTCAAGCAGAAACACGCTTTCTGTTCTCACCTGGGCTATTTGCAGACTCTTCTGCTGTCATCTGCATAAGCAGGGCGACTTGCTGGCGCTCAGAGAGTGGGTACCCAGCCCTGATCCCCGAAAGCCCCATTCCAAACAGCAAGCCAGGCTTCCTAGTGGCAGGCTCCTTTTTAATCCTCTTCCGTTCTGGACCCTGCTTTTCTGTGAGGCAAGAGAGACAGAAAGGGAAGGGGAAGGTTTCATGCTGTGGACATTTCCACCCTGAAATGCACATTCATTTGTCAGACAAGTGCTAATAACAGCGCTCCTCATTCGTGTCAGTCTCCTTCGCATGGCTGATGTAAATGTAGAGCAACAACTATCATTTTACATTTAGATGATTAAGCCAGATAACTGTCTGATCATTCATGTTGGTACCTTACAGAGCACAATGAAGCCACTGGTGGGAAAAAACAGAGTTAGAAGCACTGGCGTTTGCCAGCACGCGCTCTTGGACAGATACCCTCATTCAGAACCATGACAAGCCATGGCACTGAAGCACACACCTAGACAGACTGGAATAGCAGAGTGGGGGGTACCTTACCTTGGCATCACCTGCCTCGGGTCACTTTGCTGGCCGCCTGGCCGGTTCCTCACAGTATTCGTAATGCTTAGATTCTCTTCTCCCCCACCCTCCACACAGCAGCACAAGGGGTAGGGTGTAAACGCACACGGAGCCCAGCTGTCAGTACTGTACCTTCCATCTTGCTTCTAGGAACCTCCATTTCATGCCATGGTGCTTCGAGGAGCGTACCAGCCTTATACCACCACAGCATGGACTGAACTGGAGGCATCTAAAAGCAGCAACAGAAAGTGCTAACAAGACACACTGTAACAGCTCTGACATGTCGCCATCTCATCTCCTTCGGCTACAGCAGGGGATGTATTCCTCGTCGGAATCGTTCCAATCCCCACGTGGACACGGTGCGTGCCGGGCGCCCTCCTGCCAGCATCACAGCAGACTGTCCGTCTGCCCGGGGGACTTTCCATTCACAGCATTGCCCTAGATCACCTCTGTAGCCAGCGGAGTCCCTTCCCATGCCTACCTCTGGGAAGCCAACAAACTGGGAGAGGGGAACTTTTAAGAACAGGTTTCTGGTCCCAGTAACTAACTGGTCTGACTGCAGACAACTCCTGCTGGAGGAGTGAGGGTGCTGCCCAGAGCCAATGTTTGTTTGTGGCCTACAATGTGTGCACAGCCAATGGTGCAAGGACAAGGCTAAATCCAGGCCTCTCCCCGCATTCCCCATCACCGCTCTCACCAGCAAGCATTACATCCTAGAGAGAACTAAACCCTGCCACGTATTACGAGATTTGGTATTTCACTCACTCTTTTCAGCTCACACGGACGCTGCCTCTCTGAATATACAGCTTCCCTCCAGCAGTTCTCTGATTTTCCCTTCGCAAGCACTCATCTTTTTTCACATACAGCCAGAATTAACACTTACGCCTGTTCATTTCCCCGCCCCGTACCGACACTTCTGTTAGCAGTCTGACTGTGCGCTCTCTGTTGGTCCTGTAGAGCAGTATGCAACACACAGAGTCCCTCAGATGGAGAGGTGGGGTTTGAGTTTATGATCTCAATGTGATAGCTTAAGAATAAAAATTAGATTTGCCTGGCTGAGATGCCCCAGTTGATTTTGTTTGCTTTCTGTCAAAAATAATAATAATACAAAAAGTAGCAATGGAAAGAGACATCAATTCCATGGAGATAAATACTAAAATAAACTGCCACAAAACCAAAATATAAACTCCAACACTGTCCTTGAGCCACAGTGGAAGAACACAAACAACAACAACAAACAACCAAGCAAACAAAAAACAAGGGGGAGAGGAGAAGACAGGGACTCTCCATAGACATAGGAACAATTAGCATACTTCAGTGCTTTTAAACAGATAAGAAGTGGAGTACATGTATAATGTAAGCCAAACTGCTAAAGACCAATAAAGGGCCATTTATAGACAAAGCAGATAAAACCCAGCAAATATCTGGCAGATGCAGACAAACTGTTCCCACAGCTGTATCCTCACAAACTGTCCTCAAATGTTATGCTGAATTCATGCTAGTGAGATTCTACTTCAGAAATCTGAGCATTGAAGAAGTGCTTAGTTGCAGTGCCATCTTGAAATAAAAATGTAAAGCCCCTGATGAATTGCCCACAGCTCTGCTGGTTAAATAGCACATGCACTGCTTAACTGACCGTACTCACTTCTCAATGGAGCAACATTTCTTCCAATTTTGACACACAAGATAAAGCGAGGTGGAAAAGTCTGTTTAACTAAGGAAATACCCTTCTTAACCCCTGCAGCTGGCTGGACAGTGATACCCTGCGAGTCAGTGTTAGCTGAGGATTCCTGCGAGCAAGTGTAGTGAAAGCTGAAAAGGGGGGGGCTCTAAGACAGCAAGTCTGGAAAGATCCTATTCCACAAGGATAGGAACCACCCTTCACATCTACCTCGGCACATTTACTTACATTCAATGTTACATACTTTCAGCTTTCATCCTGTAGCAGCTCTCTGACACCTGACACCCACGAAGCCATCTAGTACGAGACTGTCCTCCCACTCGACATGAGAAGGTTACTCATCTTTTGCAGTAACTGAGGTTCTTTGAGATGTCTCCCACTGTGGCTGCTCCACTCCAGATAATGGTGCATCCCTGCACCTTCAAGTTTTGCAGCAGCGCCTGCATGAGTCACACACGTGGAGTGGGATGGAAGAGGAAAACCTGGGGTGGTGGTGGGAAGGGACAGGGCTTGGGGGATGGGAATGGACAACCTTCCAACCCCCTCCCGCCCCCGGCCTGCCAGGACTCCTGGGCTGGATTGCACAATTGCTCCAGCCAAGGCTGGCTCATTGACTGGGAGTTTATCAGAATGACGCTGGCGTTGTTGACCTTTATTTTCTGTACTACTCTGGAGAGCGGTGCTATTAGGGGGAATGCAGAGAGCAGGTTTGTGTTCCCACTGGTCAGGAATACGTCCCCCACCAACTGCTCTGGAGTCGAACATCGGACACTTGGTGTTGCACGCAGTCGTTAATAGATCTATTTGTGGGGAACATCCCTTCCAGAATACGCATTCCAGTATCGCCCTGTTTAATTCTCTTTGTGGTTGCAGGGAACGCATCTGCAGAGTTCGTCTGCTGATTGTGCTGTCATCCAGGCAGACAGAAGCTGAGATACAGATATTGTATCAGATGCACCAATTCCAGAGTCCCACATTCTTGGTACACAGGAAATGGGATCAGGCTGCTCCTGGCTTGTTATGGAAAACATGCAAGTGATGTTGTGGGTCATTATTTCTATGTTTTGATTTCTTATGAATGGCAGGAAGCGGAGGCAGGCACTGGCCGGCACAGAGTTCTAGCAGGTTTGTGTAGCCTTGTCTAAGCTGTAGACCATAATCCTTGAGCAGTGAGATGTTGCCTGGGTGCTCCCCACCCAATGAAGGAGACATCTGTCGGGATCATCTGATGGAAAATGTTTAACCTGTGTTTGATGAGAAATGTGCATGCTGTCCCATGGTCCAAGAGCTGCAGGGTGCTGGCCTATGGGCTGTTCCATACTGTGAAGATGAGGGTCTTGATCCCATCAAACTTGTCTTGTAGAAACAACACCTTTGCTGGCCTTGAGTCAAGGTAAGCACCAATACATTCCAGCTGTTGAGTCGATGCTTTGGTTGATTTCTTTGTGCTTACTTGTATTCAGACAATCTGTTGTCACTTGGGTAGAGCAAATGGCATCTGATCAACTGTGTGACTTCAAGAGACAGTTATCCGGGTAAGGAAATAATATTACGTCTTGTTTTCAGAAGAGTGCTTTTGTGACCATGAGGAGCTTTGAGAGAACACAAGGTGCTACTGACAAGCTGAAACTGCCAGTGGTCTCTATCCAAAGTAGACCTTAGAAAACACCTGTGGACAGGCTGTCTCATAACATGGAAATGAGCATCCTACAGGTTGAGAGCTGAAAACTGGTCCTCCTAATCCAGCAATGTTGTGGATGTGTGAAGTAATGAACAATTACTCTTGTGAAGGTGACCATCATGAACCTTTGTTTTCTCACAACCGTGTTCAGTCGCCCGAGGTTGGCGACAGGTTGCCACCCCACCCAGGAACAAGCTGCACTACCCCTGTGTGGAGGATGATCTGCCTTTTGGTGTAGCAAATGTTTGAGAGAGGGGTCCCTGAAGAGGGATGAGGATGTGGGGGTAGGGTGTAAAGGCAGGAAAGGAATGATATAGCCCATCTGGATGACTTCAAGGGCCAATTTGTCTGTGGTGAGGCCTGCTCATTTCAAACAGAATGGGAGCAAGTGATCTCCAAATAACCGGGTGGATTGGGTAAGCATTGGAACATGGGAGAGGCCTTCCAGATCTTCACCCAGGCTTTTACATTTGTTTATTAGAGAAAGTGGGTTGATATGTGGCTGGTGGGTGAGGGTGTCATTGTTGCGGTCTGTCATTGTTAGTGTTGTTCGTAAGGTCTCTCTGGTGTTGCTGTCTGTCTGTCATCTACTCTTCTTATATGGTTGATACTTGTATTGTCTCCTCCTGGAGGCAGATGTGTGAATGCCAAAGGACCGGAGAGTGGCCTGCAAATCCTTCACTGTGTACAGTTGTCATTGGTTTTGGAGGTGACCAATTTTTCCTCTGTCGAAAGGGAGATCTTCGACTGTATTTTGTATCTCTCATGGGAATGCTGAGGAGTTAAACCATGAGGCTTGTCACATGACAACAGCTGTAGTGATTAACTTGGCAGCCATGCCAGCAGCCATTTTGAGTTTCCAGCATTTCCTCCAGAGCAATTTTAAGCCTGCTAGACACTCTTTGGAATAAGTCTTGGTCAGTTATTATAGTTATTTATAGTGGTGGCCAAGACATAATTGTCTCATCCAATGAGGATGAATTAGCAAGGTGTCGTGAGCAGTATCCTCTGCCTGCTCTGCCATGGGGTCCTTCCATGTCTCAGTTGCTACAGACTCAAAAGGGGGAGGATCCGTGTCTTTCCTGTGTGGGCTGAGGCACCTGCTGTTCAGTGTTACTGAATGTACCTTCAACCTCTTCATCTTCATCATTGAAAACTGACCCTACTGGAGATAGCTGTCTGCAACACTGCTGGCCCTGGTGAGACACCGGTGCCTAAGAAAGCAGGCGTTGGGA